AAAAACCAAAATTAATTTTGTTAGTTAAAAGGTTAAAGTGAGCATCAATTGGGTGTTTGCTTACCAATGTAACCCATGGCAACCTTTCCGATAATATTCATAGCATAAGTACACAGATAAATACACACACACACACACACACACACCTTCAGGATGTTATAATGGTGCATTGTAGTGACATCGTTGTAGTTCTAGCTAAGGACACATGATCGACTAGCTTTATTTATAACATGGAATTAATTATCTGTATTGATTGTTATAACATTAAGTAGGATAGCAATAGGGATAATTTTCCTAATAATCAACGACTACCTTTTATTAAGCTTATCTATATTATCTTTTAAAGCAATACTTATTTGTAAAAAAAAAAAAAAAGGACAAGAATTTAAGAGTGGTAATTAAGTTGGCATCAAAATGCTAACAACAACAACCTTTGATTCCAATCATCGATTCAATATTTCAACAAATAAACGAACATATGCAATCAATGAGGTAAGTGAGAATTTATCAATATATTAATCATTTATTATCAGCTAACTTTTTTTTCATACTGTAATTAAATATCATTCATTTCATTCGTTTGAAAAATGAATTATGATTACTTAAATAAGTATGTGGAAATTATTTTAGGATAATATTTCAGGAACAACATTCTATTACCAATACACGGATAATATTTGATCAGTCTAAAAATGAGCCGTATCATTTTCATTCCGGTTTTCGACAAATTCATAAAAGATTACGCAATGAATGGCATTTAGAAATGTTCGTATTACCTTTTCACTAATTATAATAATAAAAAAGTTTGTGGCATAAAAAAAATTTTAAAAAAGGTAAAAAAAGTAAAAATAAAAAAGTTTATAACATTTAAATTAATAAATAGCGTATAAGTGATAATAATAAATGCAATGATTTGAAAATAATGGATATAATACGATTGATACGATTAATCATTATTGATTGAATTGAATTGGATTGATCGACTTAATTGGTTGAAATTAATTAATCAATTAATTGATTGATTAATTGATTGCTATTTATGAATAATTTTTATTAATTGAAAATCAAATTTCTGGAAAATTTTTTTAGTAATATGGATGAAATTAATGCAAATACCTTTATTGAATGTTGTTTATTTGTGATACCATACCCGAAAGCAAAATTTTCACAAAATGAGGTGAAACTTTTATTTTTAACAATTTTTTTTTCAACTTTTATTATATTTTATATGGTATCTTCTGCTGTGTGACATTTATAAAAGGATGAAATATCAACCACGTGACACATATATGATGTAATATGATTTAGTGGTAATTATAATATTTATGATTGTATTTATGGATGAATATTGTACAAATTATCTACCTTAACGATAATTAAAAATAATTAACGATGATTTTGCTTATAGATTGATCATCTGAAAAATTCTATCGATAATGGTAGTAATGTATTAGTATTAATGAATGAAGGAGGTGAACAAGCTGCTGATACAAATATTAATCTTTTACTCAAACAATATGATATTACTTGTAATAATGGTAATATTTGATATAAATAGAAAATTTTTTGAATTATTATAGCAGAAAATGATATCTTCGAATCCTTATCATTTAAATATTACTTTTCAATTTTAATCTTAATCCAAATTTCAGCAGAAATTTAAGTAACAATTAATTAATTCAAATTAAAATTAAAATCTTACATTTTTATTTTATTGATTTAAACCAAAATATTAAGTTTTTACATAGAAGCATTTCAATGCCTTTCTTTATCATTTAAAGAAACAAATTTCAAATTATTACCATTTATGTAAAATGTTAAAATAAATTACAATAGGATGAAACATTCTTTAAAGCGTTGGAATGATTTTTACTAAATAATCCCGAATCATGGTATCTTCCAAGCAAAAATATACTACGGGAATTACTTTTACAGAAATATTTCATATTAAATGTCCAATATTTATGATGAATATCTTGAATGAATGAAAATATTTTGAAATTTTATTTTAGATTCCGTAATTCGGACAACATTTTACAAATATTTTGATCCAAAGGAAGCATTAATTGCTAATGGTATCCTAAATCGTGCGCTTACATCAACAGCTGGCAAGTTGACATATTCAAATGATGAGGAAATTAATGCACTGTAAAGTTTTTTAGAAATACAAGTTCCAATTGATTGTATGTACAATACAAAATATAAGCATTAATTGTTTTAATAATTATAATAAACGTGAAAATTTTAACGAAGTATTGAAATGACTTACTTTTTTTCTTTTAATTATTTTAAAAAGTTTAAAGTTTAATTGAAGTTTGATTGAAGTTTGATTGAAGAGACAGATAATGATATCATCATTTCATCAAAGTCTTTCAGTTCTAGCAATCAATTTCAGTTTATTCAGTTTTTTCTTTCTCGTAATTCTAATTATTTTTATTTGTTGAGTAATATTAATTACTATTTTTTTAGTGGCCTACAATTTGTTTATCCATATGGTGCAACATTGAATGTTGGCCGAAAATCTATAGCAGTATTATCTACGGGTAGTGTTTGTTATCCAAACAATCGACCAATTTGCGCATTTCATCAAACGGTATGCAAATAAATTACAAGTTCAATATTAGCATTTTAATTTTGAAATAAAATTTTCGGAAAAAGAGACTTACAACATATAGGAAAAAAGTTGTTACTATTTTAGGAAAAAGGTGGCAAATTGATTGTTATTGGTTCAGTTCATATTTTCACTGATCAATATTTTGAAAAAGAAGAAAACAGTAAAATATGGGTAAGTAGATTGATTGTTGAAAGAGGAATTAACGGAAATTCATCTCTTTTACAATTTACTTTGAAATATACGAATCAACGTGCTATTTAAATTCTTAAATTAAATTTCAAACAGATACTTTTCATCATTAATGCTGAAAATCATGTACTTCTGGAATTATTCTTAAATAACAAACAATTTTTTATTATCCATATTCCTATGTGCATTGATATGATTTGACAATTAAATTAAGCATGTTAATTTTAAAGGATGTTATCATGAAATATGTAACGGAAGGTTTTGCACTGAATATAGTCGATAGTAGGGAACCGGATTTAATGGATGCGCATCCTATACCGGATCATATTTATTTATCGGAAAAGATCAAAGTATGTCTACAGGAAGATGAATATGAAATGAATCAAAGCGGTGATTTCCTCAAATACTTTGATATTAGCCTATATGCTATGGATCTTTCTGTTTGGCCTAAAACTATCAGGTAACACTAATGTGAAATATGCTGTAAACAGGAGGAAGAGGGAAAAAAAAGAAAACCAATCTGATCTTTGATAGATTAAACGGAATGTTTTACCTTTCGTTTTATGAAAACCGGCTCAACAATTAAAATTAGCACATTAAAATGTTTTTTAAAGCGTAAATTCTAAACAAAAAAGATCAAACTTTAGAGCTAAATCATGCTTTAAACCTAAATCATACGGGAATTTTTAAAAAATTGTCGATAATCATGAAGAATTCGGAAATCAGCAAGCTTTCAGCAAATTAACATTCACTTATAGTTATCATTAATGATGTTAATTAATTACAAGTAATATATTATTTGAAATAATTCCTTTTCTTATAAGTCCTTCTATTCCAGGGCATTCGAACAGCTTGGTTTAACACATGAACCGCTGTCACTTATTGTACCACAATTTGAAGTACCACAACCTCCACTTACACCTGCTGTAATGCATATTTATCAGTCGTTGTCAGTCGTTTTATCAATCTGACTATCAGTCGTTTATTATAGTGATTATATAAGCTATGCCTGGATAAACTACTGTTAAATTACAGGTATTTCCACCGAACTTTCGAGAACTGCCACCACCTCGGTTAGAATTATTTGATTTAGATGATATGTTCGCATCAGCAGATGTACGACTTGCTCAGCTTACTAATAAATGTAAAAATTTTTAATTTTAGCAATTTTCCAGCCATAATATCATCATTATTGATAATACCAAAAAATGAACATCCGATCCTATCGGTGAATCATGCTAATACAACAATTAATTATAGCATAATTGAAATTGTATAGAGGACATATAGGGATACCAACTTCGCAAAAAATAAAATGTCCATATTGCTAATTAATTAAGCAGTAACTGCTTTAATAAAATTATTGCTTAAATATTTATATTAGTTACATCGATGAAATATTTACAGTTGTTTAGAGCTATATTCACTTAAACATTTTACAGTTAAATATTTACCTTCTCAGGTTTATTTCACATTTCAATACTTGACAATTTCCTTTAACACTATATTATTGATAATTTCTTTCATTGACCTTTATGGATAATGATCAACTAATTAATTTATTATATAATTCAATGAATAACAACAATTTCGATACAACAAATCAAATGATTGCAGAATCTTTATGATACGCGTCGTCGTAAAGCTTCATGCTAAATACTAAAGCTACATGCTAAGGAAATAAGAAAATGAAAAGTTAAACTTAGTACTCCCCACTAATGATCAAAATAGCTGGATAACACGAGACGTTTAATTTTTGAAAATCAAAATAACGTACGATGAATCTTAACTTAATGAAAATTAAGGTGACGAAAATGATTTGGAATACTTCTTGAAGGAAGCTGGCGAAATTTATGATATCACGAAATGCTTACCGGAAAATGATAGGGGACCGAAAAAAATACTCGAATTTGTGCTCTATCAATTGGCCGAATTTAAAAAGTTCAATCAGGTCATTTCATATTACTTTATCTGCAAAATAACTTCATCTTTCTGAAATTACTTCAAGATTTATTTTCAGGAAAAGGATGATGTTGATGTCGAAAATCTGAAAAGGATCTCCGATGACTTTGATGAGCCTATTGGAGGAGATGATGCCCAGTATTTCTCGGATATTGATGAATATGATGACATGGATTAAGTATTCTGGCAATTTTTGTTTTTTCCTTAGCTGATGTTAATTCACTGATTATCAGTTGTGTTGGCAAATATCTTCGAAATAGATAGCAGTAATAAAGATTTACTCAACTATTTTCAAAGCCGAACAACCAGAAACCTCTGCTGCATATATTATCCCAAATAATGCATTATATATATATATATACATATGTGTATATATACATATACTGTACACGATTTAGTTTCGTTAGCAAAAGTACAGAATAAATGATGCGAAAAAAGTGAAAAAAACAGCAATAAAATGTGCTTTATGTTCATTTGAGTATTTTCCATGAAGAGAAGCTAAAATCATGAAATTCTAAACTGTTCCTACAAAAATCCAGCAAGCAAACAAATAGAAAAAACGATTAAACAAATAACAAACTACGATGAATCAAATGCTTTAGAATGAAATCATCAGCAAGCTGCAGTAAGAGGATAACATCAGGATAAGTGCATATTCCCACTAATATGTTCCGGTTTCCTCCCCTTGCAGCTGAAATTAAAAAAGGCAACGAAACAAAAAAAAGTGCAGATTATGGATAAAATAATGTAAGGCCGGGAAATGTGCTGCAATATGTTTGAAAAGTTAAAATCTCCACAGCAGCAAAAGCATTCTGAACAAATTTAATATGAAAGTTCCCTCTTAACTATATTTTTTTATGTTATAAAGTGATAAAAAAATTTCCCATATGAAAAATCTTTTAAATTCTGTTAACATTTGTACTCCAACTTTCCACTTATACTGTAGAATTTTGAAGTGAATCAGATCCGAAAATTTTAATGTTAGATTCCTCATAAGAAAAAAAAAAGATACAAAGGAGGAAATTAGTAAATGCTGAATATATCTGAAAAATTTTCCAACAAGCAGAAACTTTTCACGAAGTGCAAAATATTTTTTATTTCTTGCTGACGAAAAAAGAGACATAATAATGTTTCTAAAGCATATTGATATTGTAAAGGCATATAATATGTCTGAGAAGAGAAAGCATCTGAAAAGAGAGAGGCAGAAAGTGTTAAAGAACAGAATATATCAAAGATCTACCATAATGGAGAAGCAAAAAGATAGTTCCTTCAGATATCTTCGAATTCGTTTCTTTCAGGTGAACTTTAAACTTCAAAACCATTTCTCGGAACTTTTCACTATCCGTTATTTCATGAAATCAAATTTACGACTCGTCGGTTGATGATGTCACGGAAATACATGCGGATGATGGATTCCGAGCCGAATCCACTTCCTCATTTATTTCATGCGTTGATGAAATAGCCGTAGCACCAAATGTTCCCAGCGGTGTGAAAGCAGACCGCTGAGCAGGGCATTCAAAGTGTACACAATGAAACACTTCATTCACTAAAAAAAGTAAAAAAAAACATAGTTAAAATTAAGGATAATGAAAGGTATAGGTCTTTCAATTTCTCGAATAAAATTTAAGCACAATTTACCCTTTCCTCCACTCCCCTTTTCACCCACATCTTCCAAACATGAAACATTCAACAGAGAAGTACGCTATTTGCTTTTTGTTTCAGGAATCGATAATACGTCCTCTTCATTGCAATAAAGGCATAGGGCAAATTCATTTTCTTTAGATCAACTGAAAAATGATATGACTGAACCTAATCACTAATGCAGCTGCAACGTGGATAACACCATGCTTCACGATGGAAAATAATTATTCTTAAGTTTTCATATTTAAGTAGTAATATCGTTTACCTGAATTATGCGTCCCAACAAGACGAATAAACACAACTGGAAGTCGATCAAATCTCAAGATCTGCCATGCTCTATGAACAGAAGTACGACTTTAAACTAAGTGCGTGATGTATGAAATTCAAATATATTTAAAAACATATACGACATCACAGCATGAAGTTTAAATTAAATCGGTTAAAATGTCAGAAAATGTGCTGAAGAAATCATTTAATTTCTAGAAAAAATTTAAAAAAAGTTTCTAAAATGTTCACCGTGCAAACTGCTAATAGTTGAAATTTACCTGCAGTGCTCCTGAGTTTTATCAGCTATGCGTGTCCAAGATATGTTATCACATGACACTTCAACATAATAAGAGTAATGACGGTCATCACAATCCCACAAAAGTAAGCTAGAACATAATTTATGATTCGGAGATTTAAGTATTGCAAAGTGGATGAACATCAAATACTACAAGCAATGACTTCTTGCGCGCAAGCTTCAAACAACATTAGGTGTCATAAAATGTAACACCAAACGTACCGCATCGAGTCGATCAGATACGGTTGTGATAATTGCACAACGATTGCACCAGACCCTAACTGATGACAAGTATAACCATTGTCCCAGTCGTAATTACTTGTTTCCCCATTTATTAAAGCATTTCTACTACGTGAAACTCCTTCAATAACAATGGCGTTGTTTGCTATCGTAGCCACATTAGTACTTGGAACTGCAAAGTAATTCTAAATAAACTACACAACTGGATGATATTGAATGAGTAAGGATAAAAGTCATAAGAAATATTCCTGCCTTCAAGCATTTGAAATGAGATTAACACAGTCGCGAAAAGTAGCGGATGTAATCATAAAAATTTAAAACTGTCCATTCTTTAACCTATATCTCTCCCAAAACTTCTCACTTTTCCCCTGTTTAAATTAAATCAGAAAAGAGATAAAATACCATTAACATCCGTTCGAACTAGTAATGATTTACTAAAGCTCCTTTTATCTCAACGTCGAGGTCAGAGTTCGCTGGATCTTGGTTCATGAAATTCTTACTCAATCATTACTAGTTACTATCTGAAAAAAGGAATCACCAAGTAGGGTAGTAACCGGATCAACATCGAAAGGTTCCGATGTATACATTGCTTCAACGCTTACCAAATGGAACGAATTATTTACTGTATTGTAGGTTCCAACGATGCGTATAAAGCTATAAAGACAATTTCATAAATCGTCTTGTAAATTTAGCCATTTTACCATAGAAAATAAGTACACGAATTGTAAAGCATAATTAAGCAGTAGCTTAAATAAAGGATGCTGAGTTCTCTCAGAACGTTACTTAATCGCAGAAAATCACACCGTCTAACACATAAGTTTAGGTTATAGCAACAACACATTGTCGATCATGTAAGCTAATAAACAAAAAATAAAGCGTTATCATCTTTCAGCTCACGATCATTGATTGTTTTAAACATTTCATAAATGTACTGTTTAGTGAAAAAAAAAGTTTGCGTATATATGTATATATATGTACGTAGAAGTAGAAATAATGTACCTCACAACTCTTGGAGTGAAGTAGAGCATCTGTCTTGATCGGCAAAGATAATGCGAATGATCTACGACACGTATCCACACCTCCTGATCAATACTTATCTAGAAAAAAAAAAAACAAATAAGTGCTTATCTATAATAAATCTAGTCCAAATCCTTACGCTTAGAACCTACTAGTTGACTGTGACTTTTCATATTTATAAGGCAGTTAAAGACCAAAATATAAGGTTAATGGAAAAATAAATTAGTTTCAAACAAATTCACTTCGACGTAATAATTATATGATCTCTGGTCGCGATCCCACAAAAGCAACCGAATATGATTAATGATGAATGGACGTCCAAGCTGTAAATACATTCTTTTACAGAACGAAAAAAACTCGAGTAGTACCGGATGAAGTTTTCCTTGATATTATGTTCATCAAAAGCAACGACAGTAAATAAAACTTTTCCCACATCTTTTTACAGGTCCTGTCAAAAAGAAAAAAAAAGAAAAATCCTGTTTCACCTGAATAATGATACCAGGATTTTTATCACCGATAGCATGAGTCGTGAAGCCACGTTCCACGTCATAGCGATTCGTTTCGCCAGACAGAAGAGTAGTGGAACCTTCACCAGTCAATACAGTGGCATTGAAGGTAGAACTCATCACATTTACATTTGGTACTAGAAAATGAAACGTGAAATGAGAGTCATTTGCTGTAATTTAAGAAGGGGGATAAAACTTGGAATTTCTACGAAACTAAATACAGTGATTATTTGCTACTAACACGATACTTTAGGTATATACATATGTACATACACACATACACATCACACACATACACACACACACAGACACACACATACACAATTTTCTCCCACAGACACAGGTATATCAAGAATACACATGAAAAACTCTGATACTTACGCAAAAATCCTCTATAAGCAAGTTCACCACTTTTTTTTTCAGTACGTTCTTTGATGGCGTCCAAAATAGCATCACTGGCAACTAAACCGGATGGTCGTATAACATTAAGTAAATCGTCCAGTTTTATTAGTGAAAGTCGTAGTCGTGCGACAATCATTTGCGCATCCTCCTGCTTAAAACATGTTTCAATTAATCTATTTTTACTCCAACTAACAGCGGCAAAGCACAAACCTGATCAGGGTGTTGCCGGATCCATTCACGTACAGCACGAAATATATCGATTTCGGGAGCACATAAAGAGTCGCGTTGCACCATTTGTTCGACTGCACTTGCAGGGAGTTGCAAGAAACCCTAAAATTTGCAATTGCTATTTATCATCCAAAAAAAAAATGAAAAATATCACGATGAATCGAAATAATGAAGCATGCAAGCCTAATCCATGATAACATTCTCTACAATCAACAGTTTTTACCTGAGTCGAAATAACTTCAGGTGCGTGTTTGTCAGCAAAATTTAGGCATACATCACAAAGGGAGTGCAACGAATATAAATGTGCTACACTGTATATCGTACAAACGTTTCTAATATTAAGCATTGCCTGGAAAATTGAGATGAAATCGACTTTAGCTCATTAATTTCAGTTGAAATCTTGCAACGGATTTTCAATATCAATCCTAAATACGCATTTTTCGATTTGGGATATCGAAATTTTTCGCTCAGCGTACGAATGTTGGATCATAGTGTTTCGCAGGGTTGCACTGACTTTAAAAGTTAATGATGGGGGAGGGAGGTGAAGGGGATGGTATTACAATTTGAGTTTTTTTGCGGAAAAGGGTGCTTCAGGATAACTTCTGGTAGATACAATTCAATGAATTACCTTCATATACTCCGAAATACTGATTTCCAAGTCAGTGAAACCGTACTTGTGCGCCAAACCAAGAACCTCGAGAACTATCTCTTCCTTCATTGAACTTAACGATAACTTACCAGTGTAGATATACCTGAAACGCAATCGTCAAAGTCAATATTTCTGACAATGTAAAACAAAAGAGGTAACACAGGAAAAGTCCGAAGATACAGAAGAGAAAATTTCAAAGACCGCACTTCATGAGCATTTTGAAACCATTCAAAGAAGTGTCGACCAATTCGATTTCCGAATCTCTCGTTTCTCGCATACCATTATAAAGAAGAGCTCTAAAATCTCAACATTTCAAACTTCCATATTTTATGTTTATTCGTTCTTAACAATTTGCATAAATTGAAAAAAAATTGTAGAATGTGTAAATAGTGAATAAAAAATTTCAACTCAATAAATAGCAATTGTGTTAACATATACCTAAAATACTGGCTTCGAGCACCTAAGATAACTCTATGAGCTGGAATTAAGCGTCCCTCAATCTGAAATAAATCATTTTAAAAATGAAAGCTTTCTCACTCCGAAAATAACCTTCAGGTATATTCCCCGATAGCTTGTGATAGCTAACAACTTGAAGTCTATAAATTTACAAGGTCCTCAACAGTACTTGATTAATCTTACCTTTTTAACATGCTTGTTTCACATATTCATCAACAAGCTCAACTTTCTATTGCTATAGAATATACTGCCGATCATCCCTACGGTTGAAAATTTTTTCAGAGAATATTTGACACTAAAGCAGGTAACTAACATGGTGAAAGGCCTACTGAGTGCTACTGCTTAGCTTTATAAATAAAAGTGAATAGTACCTTCAAGGTGACATCACTACATTCGCCAGTTATATACAAGTTTCCTATATGTTCGGCAAGGTAATTTATATGCTGCACTTCTCCAGTGGCGCCTGAAACAACACGTATTATTCGATCGACATAATGACAAAATTATTTTTTTGTGATTTAAGATCTTTTATCTCTAATTCAGTGCATTATACAAATGGTAAAGTTCTTCCAACGATTTTCTTATCTCTCTTATCTCTTATCTTCACATGTAATCATTCGATTGTTTGCAACTTACCACAGCAATTCAGATTGATCGATGATGTGGAAGTCTGAAAGGGAAAGAAGCCGTCGTTGTGAAGTTGTGGATGGTTGTCACTCATTTCTTCCTTTTCCGTTCGTCACTTACTCATTCACTGCATGAAATCGATCTAAAAACTGATCGAACAACTCATCTTACTGATCTTCTGAATGGCCACAAATGAATCGACCACATGACTCGTCGATACGTAAATGGTGAAAATAACGCCACGTACCAGTACCACAACACCAAACTAAAGTGTAGCTACGCACATATCAAGGTTGAAGCGCATGTGAGAAGAGTTAACACTAACTCAGACCGCTGCAATGAATAAAAGCATACTAGAGGGCGTAAAACACGTACGTGAGAACCGACTAAGTGGATCATTCATCACGTATCAGTACAACTGGCTAACGTAATCCGGTTCTATCATCCACCTCTAACGGTATCGATACGCAAACAAGCATTCCAGTCCGTGAATTTACAAAAGTTTGCATTGCTGTGTGAGAATATTTAGGAATAAGGAAGTGGGTAGTTTTAAGGATGTATTATCCCGATGGTAAGTAGTAATTCGAGGAACATTTAATGACTAAATAACCTTCTTGAAAAACCACGAAATCTCGGGAGGAAAGGGAAAATATAGCGAGATTTATTCCTATCATATATTATATTCTTCAGCTACTTTTTCATATTGTTCATTGTTCTCAATGCATCGGAATTTTTATAGTTGAAAATGGAGATTTTTCCCCAATTCATTTACTATTTTAGTTCTTTCTCGAATTTGGAAAGTAATTCCTGAAATTTCATTGAAATTTAACCGAATTACGAATTGATGGCTATACCATATTTCCTGAATGATTACTGAACAATGTACGATGATTTCGATATGATGATATTTATTGATTGTAACAATGTTATGTATTGTCAATTGGATTGATATGATAGTGAAAATATTAAGCCTAATTAGGGAGGAATAAAAAACACCAAGCGCAGAAGCCTAATTTAGAGGAATAAAAAAAAACAAAAAACGCTGAATCTAGAAGTCTAGTTTGGAGGAATAAAGAAACACCAAGTTTAGAAACGTAGTTTGGGAGAATAAAAATATTAAGCCTAGTTTGGAGCAATAAATGTTATTGGCAAAGATTCTAGACTAATTATTTTCAGTAGTGATCGTTTGCTATGTCGAAGGAATCAGATGGTTTTTCCGGTTTACTTAAAGTTTTGAATTTCGATACCATTTAATATCTTGCATTAATTCCATTTTAAATTGCAATAAAATGCATCCAATATTCAATTTTAACATAATATCTAATTATAATCACTTATTAATTAAGTATATTTATGTAAATACACAATGATGATTAACTTTTATTTGATACATTCCGCATGTTGCGCAAATGTTTCAAGTATCGGTGAATCGATCATATTAAAATCTCTAAATTTGAAATTTCCTTTTTCTGCATTTTCCTGCAAATTTATGCATACCAAAATTTTTATTTATTCGAACTGTATGCTTCCTAATCTTCTGAATTTTTCATCGAATTCGAATGAAATTTGAATTTTTTAAATTCGAAATTTATTTTTATTAAATAGAATGACCAATATATCAGACAATTCTTTGTATTATTTATTGAAATTTTTCAAGAAAAAGTACGCAGGATGAATGACCAACCAAAATATCCCGAGCAGTTAAGCCGTCAAATATTACTTGAACTTGCGCAACAGTTTCCATCTTATTGATTTCATCTTCTTCCAGAAAAATTTCCCAACTTGTATGCTTTGAGCGTGTTTTTTCACGTTGTTTCAAGACATCAATTATTTCCAGACTAATTCGAACATAATTAATGAACCTGAAATAATGAATGTAACATTCATACGGAAAAATTTTTCGGTTACTATCAGTAATATTTTATTTAAATTTGATTTAAAATAATTTGTGTTAGCTACTTCATTGAGCACTACACTTTTTGTATACTTAAGTATTATTGCTTCAAATTTGAGCTAAATTATGACAAGTAAAATTACTTATAAGATGGGTAAGTAATTTATCATACTTTGTAATCACTTACCCTATTATTTCACCTTGCACAAATTTATAAACATTTCGACAAACAACAGTACACATATCAGTGGTACATATATCTAAGTGTACGGTAAGGGCTAATCCGGCTTTCTCTTGATGATTTTTGAGTATTCTAATACAAACACATTGTAACAAATCATTCGGTACTTTCCGGAAATCAATCTTATACATCGGATTCTCATCATCAATTTCCTGAAATTGATGCTTGCAATGTGAATGAAAATTGCTGCTCTCATAGGAATTCTTTGAAGTATGCCTTTCCAGAATTCAGGAATCATTATATGATAGCTTAAATGGTGATAATCGAAAATGTGCGTAGTAATGAAAATTGCATTAGTTAGTCTACTCACATTTTTGTAATTAACTGAGGAGAAGAATTCATTCCTCCCCATACCAAGATATAGGGATTCTAAACGTGTAATATCATTTGCGCCACGTTCACGTGAATAATTCACCAATTGAGTCCATTTTTGTAACGGGTCTGCTAGCTCCTTGGGTGTTACTCGATAATTTTTTGCTAAAGGCAAATTAATCATAAGATGATCCAGAAGTACTGTAGGAATACAAAAGTTTACCATTAGCAAGTAAAACTTCTCGGATTTCTGATTTATCAGCTGATTTTATGATTTTAGATATTTTTCGATCAAGAAGTTCATCAACGGTTGGCCGTTTCTCATGATTTGGTTGCATTAGACGATGCCATAATCGTAGAATTTCTGAACTTAATGACTGAAACAAGTGATGATTATAAATAAGCAATACATTGAAATTATTTCAATATAAAGTTTAGACGTAAATATGACACTGTAAAAACACATTAAAAATAGTAAAAAATGATAAAACAGACTAAGACTACAGTAACAAATGTAATATCACATTCATTCTGTTATCCTACTGTCCGCAATTAAATACAATAACCAATTAAATACAGTAACCACATGCCACTGTCCTATTGTCCTGTTCATTCAGTGTTAAAAGTATGTTTTCATTGATTATAAGGAAATGCATTTGCAACATTATTTTGATAAATGAATGATACTGTAGGAAACTTACAAATTTCACTCCATTTGGAAACCATCCATTGTATGGTACAGGTAATTGAAATTTCATCTATAAAATTTCAAAAATTTAAAATCTAAACTAAACCTTTTTCAAAAAGATTTATCAATTCAATGACAGAATATAAAAGATAACTTACAAGTTGTTCAGCATATTGTTTCACATCTTTCGAATACATCGTATTAGTCAAATGAAACGTTTCACCGGTAACCATTTCCGGTATTAATAATCCTATATGCCTAAAAGCAAAAATTTTCAAAAATGAAAATATTATAATTTTCGAATTTTAATTCATTGACAATAAATAATTTATTCGGAACAATTTTCGAATTATTAAACTACCAAAGTTCGGTATGTGGCCCGTAATTGTCAACATCATTAAGAGCTTCTTCTGGTGCCCATTGTGTTGGTCGTCCAAAGAAACGATTATTTCGTAAGCTAAAAGTATCCAATAAACTTTAAGCAATTCATTGAAAAAAAAAGAAGAAAAAAGAAAGCGTCACATTTTTTTCCCTCATAGCCTACTTTCCCTATTATTATAGCAAAGTTGGAATATTTTGTCGTAAAGAGAAAAAAGAAATTTTAGAAATGGAATAAAATTTAATTAATTTTAATTTAAGAAAACATTAAATTCAACTTTCGTTTCTTATCGAAATAATGAAAAACCTAAGAGTTTTCCTAATATCTTCATTTTTTAACACTGTCCATTTAAAACCCGTCAATTTGATGTCACAATTTTCCGTAATAATAATTGATCGTGTAATCAAATTGTTATGTAATGCATATTGATGCAGATATGAAAGTGCCTAAAATCAAATAAATGAAAATATTTTTTGGAAAATGCTAAAATAATTAATAAATGAAAACTTTCAGTAAAAGTATGTAAGATTATTTCTAAATTTATGCTAATTTCATTAAGAATAAATTTTGATCAAGAATAAACCATGCATAATTTATGGTAATTTCACATGTGATCAAAAATAAAATATGCCTGAATTTGAATTATACAATTTCCTGAATGTTATTCAGGCTTACTTTAAGGATTTTACGTAAAATATGTCCAATTACATTTTCATTCAATACCGAAGCCATCAGTTCTTCATTATTTCTCATCATATCTCTAATAATAATAATAATAATAATTTAATAATAATAATAATAATAATAATAATAATAATAATAATAATAATAATAATAATAATAATAAT